AACAGAGTCATGCCACATTGGGTGACCATCAAAGAGTAGCTCACTTATTGCAGAGGGCTAAAGAGTGAAGAAGGGTGAGAAAGGGAAAAAAGTGAAGATCATCTTTCAAAAAGCTTGGTTGGGAAGAAACAGTGGTCAGCAGTTGGGAAGGTTCAGGACAGGGTCAATGGAAGCATTATGCTTTTGCATTTTTAAGACTCAAAAGAATCCAGTTATAAAAATTGTAACCCTAATTAGAAGCTTTACATATATTCTTTTAATTTTCACAACGACCCCCCCAAAATAGATAGTTACCTTCTTTCCATAGATAAGAGATCTGAGGTGCTCTGGGAGTTTCTTAAGACCCCACTAAAGCACCCACAGGAGAAAGCATTAGTTTTAACCACATGTCAGGCTCATTCTCTCAGGAGAGAACAAAGGAGTGGCACTAGAAAAGGCAGTGAATAATAAGTCAAGAATAGGTTGGGGGTGAACCTCAGAAGAAGGGTGCTTTGTTCTTTTAGACCGGGATAAAGGAACAAAGTTGGTATGCCTGACAAACTCTCACTCATCTCTGAAAAATCAGATCAAGTATCACCTAAACTGGGAAGTCTTCTTTAATAATTGTTAAAGTGTGGATATAAACAAGTCAGGGAGAGGCGGTGCCCAGGTGATAGCCTTTATTTTTCAGTTGGTTTAAGAGAGAGATGGGTAGCGCCTGAGAACAGTCTTCAGGATAGGGATGGAAAGGGAAAAGCAAAGGGAGATGACTGAATCCAAGAAATGTAACTGAGCAATCGTGCGGGTGACTTGGATTAGACACTATACATTAATACAAAGTTGGGATTTTGCTAGATGAGTATAGAAGGACGGGAGCACCAGTTCTCTGAGAGTCAATGAGAACATAACTCGGGAATTAACTATGGGTTCTAGAATGGCTATAAAAGATGCCAGAAATGGCCTGTAAACTGGAGACAATGAGGGGATCAAGAGTCGAGATCAGATTCGTAGTGGCGAAAGACAGTGAAGAAGCTAGAGAAGTTTGTTTATAACGAAAGAGAGCAAATCAAATTGGATTGGGGAAAGAAGATACATTTCTCCTAAAGAAACTCCTATTTCTGCCTACTTTGCTGTCTCTTCTTTTTTACTATCCCTTAAATATTAGACTTGCCTTAAGTTCCGTCCTTAGCCTTCTAACTCTATGCACCTCTTCTGGTGTCCTTATTCACATTGTTGGCATAACTTCACCTAACTACTCATGTCCAGCCTAGTTCCTTCTCTCCAAAAGTCTCCTGAGTATCTCTTTACAGACCCCTTGACATTAAACATGTCCAAAATTGAATTCATCTTCCCTCGAAATGAGCTCTTCCTTCTGCATTCCCTATCTTAGTGAATGATAGCATATCTGTGTACCCAGAGTCACTTTCAACTCCTTTTGCTCCCACAATCTAATAAGCTTTATTGACACAACCTACCCACTTACACATCTTTAGCATCCTGCTTCTGTCCATTCTTATTGCTACTACCTTAATTGGTGCTTTCAGCATCTCCCACTAACTGTTCTCCTGCTGGCCACCCTTTTGCCTTGACCTAAATCTGTATGTCCATTAGAACCTCTCAGGGATGCTTTAAAAATTCATTGCTGATGCCTACACCAGCCCTTCTGAATGTGACCTCCTAGAGCTGGAACCCAGGACTATAGACACTCATGGTTGCTTTTTGTACACCAGGACGCAGGCAGCATACGGAAAACACTGCTCCCATCGCCAACAATAATATCCTGTCTTCCCTCACATGACAATATGAAGCATTCCCAACTTGTGCTCTACATAGTAACCTGCTTCTCCTTCTTGACTTTGCTTCATCTTTTATTCCTGTCTGTACTACAGACAAGGAGGAGCCTTGGCCATTCCTCAGCCTTCTCCTCAGGTTCCTCCTCTTCTCCAAGTTCTGCCACCAGTCCTCTTTTCACCTGCCCTCTGAATGATTTCATCACACATCTCTTAGGAACAGCTCATTCCAGCCATAGTCAAAAATCTTCAAATTCATTACCTCTACCAAGCCCTGCCCCGGCTCTGTCCCTCATGGAGGCCCTCTGCCCACTTGTATATCTGACAAACTCTTCCTCATCCCTCAAAAATCAACTCAAATATTGCCTACATTAAGAAATCTTCTTTAACAACTGTGCCTCCTCCCCTCCACTAACTCACTCCCTGCAATAAACCCAAGTACAGAAGTTGTTTTGTTTCTTTTAAAAATTTTTCCATACTAGACACTGAACTCCTTGGGCGTGGGATCTATATGTAGAATACATTAGAGGTGCAATTAATATTGGTTGAGTCAACTGCTACATAGTGAATATACTGTGAAGTGAATAATGGGAATGCTTATTAATAAATGTAATAAATGATACATTTATTACTCAACACATAGTTGAGTGGTAGCATTGGTCTACAAACAAGGAATTTAAAATGTCATGAACATTATTATTACGCAGTTTTAACCACTCATAATTACATGATTGGGCAGATAGTGATACAATACAGTTTCAAAGACATGGTTGCAAATGCCCTTTCCTTGACTTATTGCCCTGGTGGCCCTTGATTTCTTTCATACCTTGAAAATGCCCTGCTATGCTTGTTTGAGTCTTTGTTCTTGCAGTTCCCTTTCAGCAAAATGCATGTTTTTTAACAGACTCTGACATGACTGGCTCCTTCTCACAACTGAGGACTCAGCTCGAATGTTACCTTCCAAGTTATCTTCCCTGACCACAAATGCTAAAGCAGTAGTCCACCATAACCTCAGTCCCTACCATTACCGTCTTACTTTCTACACGACATTTATCACTATGTGAAATCACATTAATTATTTGTTAACCTATTTGATGCTGGTCTCCTTTATCCTGCTTACCACTTTAATCTCTGTACATGAATAGTATGTGGCTTACATGGGTACTCAACAGACACTTGAATGAATAAATGGGGTGGAGGGAAGTGTTACAAGCATAACACTAAAATATCCTTATCTACTAGTCACAAAATGTGAGAAATATGCAGGTGGTAGGAAATGGCAGAGATTTTTCCCTTAGAAAGAGAATGTTATCACTGCTCATGGAGTCAGGGATAGGCAGATTATCCTTCCTCAGGATACTTAACCAGGATCAGAACTTTGACTTACCAAACAGCAATACTTCTTACCTAAAATAAACCACTTCTCTCTCAGTAGGTAGCCTTGCAAAGAAAAAATTTTAAAGCTGGGTAACTGCTCACACCTAGACTTGCCAAAAGATCAAACCTGAAAAAACTATGCCTACACCCCACTGCAAGCACTGTAAACACTGGTACCAAGACTTGCTCTATGTTTGGTTCCCAGCACCTAGCGAGTTTTCAGCCCACAGTATATGTCTAGAATGTTTGTTAAATGAGCACGAAAGACATGGTCTACTGAGGAATGGCCATCCCATCAGCTCTTAAGCTATGACACATGTATTTTAGGAATAGGGCAAGACAGCTAAGGAGGAGCCCTTGGCCTAAGCCTCTCCATGGGCAGCAGTTTGGTTCCTAGAATTCAATACTCATCCACCCTGTGCCACAGATAATTATTACTTTTCCCCGAGTCGCCATGTATCACATTTGTATATACTTTGCTAATATAATCGCTAAAACAGTATAGTAATCAATAACAGATTATGCTTGCCTTTTTAATTTTTCTCTGCATTTTGATCAAGGAAGGATAGCTCAAAATGCTGAAAAGAACAACTAAAACTGAAGTATTGTATCATCCACCTTCTCACTATGTGATCTCAGGAAAATCACATCACCTGCTTGACTGTCAGTTTCATCAACAGTCAGAATGTTCTTTAGTCAAAGGTAGTTTGGAAAAAATTAATTAGCTAGTACTTAGTGGTAATGTACTCTGAAGCTAATGCTTGAAAGATGCCATAAATCAAATTAATTGTGAAACAAGGGAAATCATACATAAAAACCTGAGTAGTTGAAAAGTGAGGAAGATTTAATATTATGCCTGTGGCTCTGATACTCTCACACTAAAACATGTATTCTCTAAAAAAAGATTCCTAACATTCACAACAGACTCTTAACAGAAATGTCAACTGCGTCTGTACTCTGGAAAGATTAACTGCACATGTATAAAGATATGAAGTACTAACAGTGACAAGAAATTACAAAATTATAGCTGTTCAAACAGTTCATTGTTGCTGCATCAGTGCCTAATCTCAGTACTGTTAACATACAGTCCACCTTACCAAAAGTCAATTAAATAATTTCAGTAAGAAAAAAGTTGTTAAAAGGCTATATATACTTGTTTGCTCTCTATCTGCTGACCACTGCTGACACTCATGTAAAATACCAAGCAACTCTAGCCATAAGGTCCGCGCTTTCCTGCCACACGACTTCCTAACTTGCTTCCACTTTAAAGTATTTTAATCAGTTTTTGCCTAAAAATTTTTATGTGAGACTAAGACAGAAATCTAAGTAAAACTCAGAGATCGCCTCCTGAACCAGAGGTTGTAATCTGCATTGGGGGCGGGGTGGGGGTACAGTCTCTCTTTAGCTTAAATGAATGGAGGAAGGTGACTAGAAAGAGGGCAGACTTCCAGCGTTGCCTCCACCAGGACAGCCTCTTCTTTCAGCCTGGCACACGCACTGCTGAGGATAAGGGGCCGGGCTAGGAGACCAACAGTGCACCCAGCCTAACCCTAACTGCCGAGCCGATCTGCAGCAGTTCCTGAAGCACCTGAACATCGCACCTGGGGCTCGTAGGTGGGGGCCGAGGCTGTCGCCGGGACTCAGTCCCCATTCGCCACCCCCGCCCCCCAGGCTGAGGTGGGGGCGGGGCCCACTGGCCCCGACGAGCCGGAACCACCAAAAGGTGCGGCCGCCAGGATGATCGGCCCGCAAACCTCCTGCAACCCCAAGGGCCCCCGCTGCCTCCAGCCTCCTCCTCAAGGTGCGCAGGGTAGCGTGTAGGGGACAACCAGGTTGGCGGCAGCCGGTACTCACAAAGCCCACTGGAGCCGGTGCTGGTGAACATGGTTCCACCCTACCCAGAGCCCCCGCGGGGCTACAGGGGGAGGGAAGGCAAAGGTGAAAGGGCCCGAGGACTGCGCAGGCGCACTCGCGGCGGGGCGGTGAGTCCGGCAACACGATTCCACTCCAGGGGCCGCTAGTGAATGGCGCATGCGCGTCCTGTGGGGCGCGCGGCTTCGCCCGCGCCTCCCTTCCTGCCTGGGAAGGGAAGTGTGTCCGTCGGCCAGAGGGTCCGCCTTTCCGGGGTTTTCCGCCGACCGCCCGCACCCTTTGGAAAAGAAATGGGATGGCGTGAGAAGAGCGAAGGTGTAACTCCTGGGAGCGGCACTTTAGTGCTCAGCGCAGCCCTCAGGCCCTGGAGCTGAGGTAGCCGCAGAGACTACGAGCGCAGGAACATTCCTGGCAACCTTTAACCGCGCCATGGATGGGACTGAGAGTGCCTTCCACGCATGCTCTGACTTTGGGCAGGCTCCCCAAAGCTCTTAGCAGTCCACAGTTAAGAGCGTTAAAAGCTTACGCAAAGCGAAAGGTTTTGATATGGGACATAACTCATAAAAATTCTTAATTTTTTAGCAGGAAATGAAACAGGAAATCGCTTGCAGTTATTAATCTTTTTAGTAAACCTAGTTGTTTTCTTTCCTCCTTTAAGTAAAAAGGCCCTCTCCCTCAAATCCCTGTAACTGGTAATTGCACTGTAATTGCCCTGAAACTGGTGACTCAGATCCTCTGGCTATTGATAAGGGTTATCCGCTCATTGTTAGCAGAAATAGCATTAGGCCAGGCAAGGTTCTTAAGGGTCTGAGAGGGGAGGGGACTTTAGACCAAAGGTGTTTTTTATTCTTTAAGAAATATATTAATCAAGCCTGTTTCCCTTTACTCACTTAATAGGCAAATCAATAATAGAAATTACTAGACGTATGATTTAAATAACAAGTTCATATCTTTTCCTTGTTTGTGGACTGAGGCGGCACTTGAGCAAGAAACCCAATGCCCTGACTAAGGCCGAAAAAGAAAGCTCCATGAAACCCCAAAAGGCAAGGACCA